TACATCTATGGGTAAACAGCAAGACAGACTGGGTTCTAAAGCCTTGGATGGCAACTGGTCTAGAAGGACAACTCTGAATTCAAAACCTGCAGAGGGTTGTTTGGGGACCTTTTGGCACATAGTGCATCAGGTCTCTGTATTTGGCCCTTCAAAATGTGTAGTTGGTTCTGCATAAAGCCTTCACCACTATAGTCAAATCATATGTGCTGGTGTCTGGGCTATCACTTCCTAAGAACTGAGCTGCTTGACATTCATATGAATAGAACGGGAAAGTCCACCATACATTTATTAAATATTTTCAGAATTTAGTCTGTGTAAAAAATGATGCTAACCATCCAATGAGTTGTGGAAATTAATGTTAATGGTTAGGTATCTTCCATGTGTCATGTCTCATCAAGACATATGCAATAATAGCTCTCCATAATTTCATATCCTTTGTAGTGCTGATCAGTGTTTGTCTTTTTACTATACTTCCCTCTCCCTGTTCAATCATCCATTTAAACAAGTACATTAGGTCAGTTTCACTGTATTTCCCTATATTCCTCTCTCTTTCGATGTGTCCTGTGAGTGTCAAATTCTCCAAACCTACCTTCATTCTGCATCCAAGAAATTTCAACTCACTGATTTAGAGTATAAATCCTTTTTATTTGCATTTTCCTTAACACTTCCGTGTTGCTTATGTGCTCCATCCATGGTATTCTCACCATCCTTATGTAGAACCACATCTGTTGCCTCAAGTCTTTTTATCTAGCATTCACTGCCATATAGCAGAATTGTTATTATATAGCATTTGAACACTCCTTTGTTTTTAACAAAATTTTCCTGTTTCTTAATACTTTTCAGAAGATATCTTTTCTGTTTCAATGTACCATTTTCCATTAAAATATTTAGGCATTCAAACTCAATATGCAATGACTTTTGAAGAGACTATTTTATGATGAATTTCCAATGTTTTGTACTTATGCTATTGTGCTAATTAGTAACCAAATTTTACAAGATAAATGCATGTGACTTTAATCATCATTAAGTTCTTTGTTGTTGTCTTGTGTAAGTTAAGCTTAGTAAATAATAACAATATGCTAATGGTTGGGAGCAAGAGGAACAGCCTGGAATTTGAGCTATAAATTGTCTAAACCAAGTACAGAAATTTAAATATCTGGGAATATTTTTAAAGATAACAGAAAATGTAATGTGAAAATCTGAAGGTACATTCCAAACACTAAACAAAGTATTAAGAAACACGAAAATTTCATTAGAATAAATAAAAGTGCGGAAATGCTATGTAATATCAATCGTCCCCTATGACAGTGAATACTGGACAAATTCCTTACAGATTAAGAGAAAACTGGAATCAAAACTTTGGTTCTATAGAAGAATACAGCAAATACCATTTAAGCAACAAGGATGTTTTAAGATAAATGGAAACAAAAATGACACTTATACTTAAAAATCAACAGTTGAAATTTCTGGGACAAATGAGTAAAGAGTGATTGGAAAATTTGATACTCAAAGGACATATTGTAGACAAGATTAACAAAGGAGACAGTGAGTAACCTACTCAATGAGCATACAGGGTAGAACAGTGGGTAGGAAGGATAATAAAAAGACTAAGTTAATAGCTATAAAGAATAGGAAGTTGTGATGAGACATGACTGTCCATGTGTTAACTGTGTTTTATCACTTGTAGCAGAAATAATCAATATCAACGAAAGTCAAAAGTCATGCTACAGTGAGGAATAAATCTGTCAAGAATATATATTGTATGAATATTTTTTGTAGCTGGGTACTGGTAACCATTCAGGAACCTTGTCCTTGAAAAATACTGCAAAGTCAATGCTGATGTCATGAAATTAGAAGCACTATAGCAACAATGTCTGAGATTTTATTGTAAAATGGTTAATATAGGTATTATGTTAACTACAACTTAGAGCTGCTCAGCCAAGTGAACAAAATAAAAATATGGTAAGAGTAATTTGTCTCTCAAAGTAAATGTAAATGGATTCCTTGCTGGATCAAGTACTTCCATAAACATCTGTACCCCTACACCAATTGAACAATTTTCATATTGCAATTCATAGAATTTCTTTATTCCCATAGAGGAGATACTTATAATTTTCTTAAAAAAACGTCAAAATACTGAACAGATTTGTCCAATTGTTCTGTTTAAATTTTCAGTCACTTTGCCACTGCTGTAACATTTCCTATAAATATTTTCATGGTTATTGTTCTAAAGAACGTTGATTAAGGTACCTAAACTTTATAAATTTATGTGCCGTACTAGATTGGAAGCAAGGTCTCATCTTCTTCCAGTTGAAATGGCTAAATGTAACCTTAATTTCTATGCTAACAGTTTCTTTGTTCACACTTCTCACTTGTAGAACTTTCCTCTGGCTCCTTGCTTTCCAGTCAACTTTGATCTTCCAAAATTTAAATGCAATGTTGATTATTATCTTCTGTTCCTCTTCTTTTATTGTTCTAGTTCATTAATAATGTTTTTCATTTTCTCATATTCTCTCACACTCAGTAACCCATAGGTATTATGTTACAACTCAGAGCTGCTCAGCCAAGTGAATAAAATAAAAATATGGTAAGAGTAACTTGTCTCTCAAAGTAAATGTAAATGGCTTTCTTGTGAAAGTCCTAAATGGATCCTTTTGATGTGAGTAAAAGATTATGGACTTGAACAATTTGATCATTTATTTAATGATACTTATTTAAAAAAAATATCATGACCTTTGCCAATGAAACCATAGTGGCTTTATTGCCTTGTCTGGGGTGATATGATTAAAAAGTAAGTAGCTTTTTCTTTTGTTATCTTAAATTCCCATATTATTTTGCTAATTTGCATAAATTTTGCAAGAAAGTTTAATGGCTTTTAACTTTTACTGGTTGATTTTATTCATAAGTCAATCTCTCAATACTAACCCACTTAAGAATGTAGGCGATCATGGCTCTGCATTGATTCCATTCCTTTATCTGTGAATTATGATGATGTTTTGAAAAAGTGAAGTGATTTCTCTATGGTTTTGAATTCTGAGAAATCTTTCTCCTCATTTTCTTGCCAGTCCAGTGTACTCTGTTTAACTTAGCAAGATAGTAAGGAAATAGATTCATGCCATTCCCCAATGCCAAAGTGTGAAAGTGAATGATGCTGACTCAGCTGTAATTTAACCTCAGATCACAGATTCCACTTTCAGACCAGTTCAACTCATAAAACTTCCCTGGTCATACCTTATGTGTTTGTCTTTAAATTACTATGTCAGGTTTTCTGCATGGAAAAATTTATGCTTTGTCAAGATCAAGTAAATTGTAGATAATGTTGGTCTTGTGGGCAATAATCTACAAGTGCTTTGCAGTGTGGTTTTCAACTTCATACAATACCTTACTAATTCAGAAATTAGTTTTGCTAAAGACCATACAGGATCTGTTGTTGTCTAAATTACACAGAAATAAAAATAACACTGACATATCATTTTAACAGATATATTTACCAAAATTAACAAAAATATAGTAAAGCGTAAATGTATTCAATAAAATCACCATTTGCTTCAACCATGGCCTTCAAATGACTTTGGAATCTCCTGTAATGGTCTTGTTTAAGTTGGTGAATGATGCTATAATCCTTGCTTTCAATTCATCTTTGATGTTACAAGGAATTTCATTGGTGTTATCCTCAAGTGGGGTTGCAGTCTAGGGAGTTAGGTGGGTAGATGTAAGCAGTGATGTGGCTGTAGAAATTGTCTGACAGCTATTACTCTGTTCTCTTCCTTGTGTGACATGGTGCAGAGGCCTTTTGCCAGACATAGGGCCTTCCAGCAACCACCCTATTGATCCAGAGAAGAACTACCTCCTTAAGGCACTTGATGTTGGCCTCTGTGTTGAGTCTGAGTCCCTCACCACTAAATTCAGGAGTTCTTTTCTTATCAAAATGATCAGAGTGAGTTTTCTGAGCTGCCAAACCTTTATAATCACCATTAAACTCATTCAACTGTTTGCAAATCCTCTGCACTGTTGTCAGATTGACACCCAAACATGCTGAAATGCTTGTATTGGAGCTTCTAGTGTGAATGCTAAGCAGTACCACATATCCTTTCCAGAGTGAATTGCATCATAGTGCTCTTTTTCTCAGAGATGGTGCCCAACTGACCCTAGTATACCATCCAGTTGACAAAATCAAAAAACAATTCACAAAATTAAAATATAAAATGGTGACAATTCACCCATCACACCCTGTTTTTTGCTTAATCTGTTATATATAATTACACAGATGCATAAATTAAAACAGTTTGAAGTGACCCTTGATGAATAAATTTTAAATAAAGTTAAAGAAATATCTTTCTCATAAGTTTTAATTTTTTTTCAAAATCAGTAGATAATTCTGTCTAATTTGTACTTTAAAGCATCTGTCACAAGCAAAGAATTATAGAATATTCCTGCCACATATGATTGCATGTTTCTGCTATTTATCTAGATATCCTTGTTAAAATCCAAAGAAGAATCAGCAATATTATTGGCCCTTTTCTGGCATCTCAATGTCAGTCTCTTTCCCAATGTCATAATGTTGTTATTTCTGTGCCTTTTTTATAAATAATTTCATGGTAATTATTCAGATGAGCTCTTCACTATGGTACCTCAACTTTTTAAGCACAGTACAAGACTGTTGATGAGGTGTCATCAATTTACAGTTGAATTGGTTAAATGTAAGAGTAAATTCTATGCTAACAGTTTCTTTTCTCAATCTTCTTGCTTGTGGAACTCCCTTCCAGTTTCATGCTTTCTAGCCAACTTTAATCTTCAAAAGTTTAAATGCAATGTCAATCTCTATCTACTGTCCTCCTGATTACTCTTCTTTTGTTCTTGCTTCTTAGCAGTGTTTCGGTTTCTGACGTTTCCTTACCCAGTAACCCCCGTGCATTAGGTAAACTCAACTAAAGAAAAATAAAATAAAAAATAATATACATTCCACCACATATAGGGATAAATAAAATATGAGTGAAGCTTACAGCCACATCACATTGAAGCACTGGTTCCTGTATGATCACTGAAGTTATGTAACTTTGAGCCTGGGCAGTAATAAGATGGATGACTACTTGGGAATACCAGGTGCTGTAAGCTTGGATGTGTGGATAGTGTAATGGATAATAGCTCAGAATTGTTAATTGGAAAGCTGAGTTTCAATTCCAGTTGAGTTAATAATATTCACTTATGCACAAATACCCTTGGGAAAGGTATGAATCCACCTCTTCTTCCTCCAGCTATGGGTTAATTATTAAGACTTCTATCACTAAAACCATTATCGCAAAAAAAAAAAAAAAAAAAAATTATAATTTAAAAATATTTTCTGGCTTTAATTAGCCTTCAATTGGTTGATAGGTCATAGAAAATGAACCAATAAAACATGAGTGGCAAAATGTTGGATTTTATTTCCTCTTGGATTAGTCATGTGATGGGACAGTATATAAACATATATAAATAGTCCCAAATTCAAAAACACTCCTCCTTTTGGAACCTTCACAATGTGACTAAGCAGTAAAGTAGGACTTAATTTCAGTAATTTGCATTTTTTAATACTAAAGCCCACCCAATACAAGGTCCAAGAGCCACTCAAGATAGATCGTTACTGTGTGATCTTGTATGAGTGTAAGAAAGGGAAAAAAGTGAAGTTCATGGGGCTATACAAGAAAGATAAGCTTAAACTTGAAGAGGTCAAGAATGTAGTAATTGCGGAAATATTCTTCTGGGAGTCTGTCTCACAAAGTTACTGTTCTTGGGAAAAAACTATCTGTATGTAACTTACTTCTTACTGTAGAAATTGAAAGAGAATGTGGATTATCCCCCCTTGTGTACTTAGCATGGCAGGTCAGAGTTGTAAAGGCCATGAAAATAGCAATAGAGCAGTAATGTTTTGTCTGTAGGAAATGGGTTGTAGGGTGGAAAATAATTCATCACCCACAAAGCTGCATAGATGCTTTTAAACTCTATGAAGACAGCACCAGCCCATTTCCTTTTTAAACCTATTTCAAAACTGAAATATGTTAATATGTTATATATTTGGCAGTAAGTAAAACTACCTATGATTATTTATATATTATCGTTGCATATAATTACTGAATGGCAACTTATCATCATCAGTCCCATAATTAGGTGTGGTCATAAGCTCACTGCACAACCCAATCAGTTCCATCAATATATAGGCTGAAAGTCAAAAAAATATTCATTTAGCCAATGTCCTCCAACTTGAAGTCTTGCCTTGGTCATGAAAACTTGGCTGCTGATTCCCTCAGGAGAACACTTTGCCCTTGCCAATATCTTTGGTCTAGGAAATACTCCAACCAGTGATGCTGTTTCATGCACTATGGAAACCAGTCTAGTTGATTGTGATTGACCATACAAGAAGATTTCTAGGCAGATCTTGGTTTTAATCCTGCTGGTGCCAAGTTACTATTCTCAGCAGAAAAGCCTAGTGAGAAAACAAGTTTAGTTGCCAATTACCCATCAATCTACATGTAGTACTAGGTTACATAGTACTAGCAGCATTTGTAGAGTGACCTGACATTACTGATTAGTAATTAATAAATTGCTATAACACTCATAGATGAAAAAACCTGTCATATAAGTGGAATTTTAAGTTAGTTCCTGTGAAAGTCCTAAATGGAGTCTTTTGATGTGAGTAAAAGATTATGGACTTGAACAATTTGATCATTTATTTAATCATACTTATTTTAAAAAAATATCATGACCTTGAATTCTTGGTGGTAATTGCTTGAATTACAAATGTAAACACATGACTTTTTTCTTTTAATTTATGATGCTTCAGTGATCAGAAAATGTCAAAAGTGATAGATTTTGTTTTTGAATAGAAAATTTTCAGGTCAATCTCTACTTCAAGATAGTAATTTAGTTTAATTAACATGAAAAAACAATGTAAGCATTCAGTTTAGCATTATACATATAGTGCAAATTTGACCCTCTCTAAAGACTTTAAAAGTTTTGAATAGTCAAAAAACTAATACACTAAAAACATAAGGATCAGTTAGTAACCATGGAATGGAAAAATTGGTGGTTATAGCTCTCATCATCATATGATATGACACAAAGATGAACAAAAAGACATTTGGTGAAGTATCATATTTAATTGTTTTATATTAAATGTAAACTCTAAGAACTCCAACAGAAGTAGTAAAGAAAATCAACTTTAAGAAGACAATGTATGTTTTCAGCAAAAGAAACAGTCTAACAAGTGAAATACAAATTGTAGATACCAAAATTAAAGAAGTGCAAAGAAACTGTACTTCACCAGAAAATGCAACATCAAAATTAAAGGCACATTTGGATAGTGAAAGATGCATTCCAAAAGGTAAGCAAAGTATTAAGAAACAGGAAAATTTCATTAGAAACAAAGAAAATAATACTGAACTCTTACATAATATTGGTACCCATATATGGCAGTGAATACTAGGCAATCTCATCAAAGATGGAGAAGACACTTGAGGCAACAAATATGGTTCTACAGAAGGATGCTGAGAATACCATAGACTGAACATATGAGAAATGAAGTTTTAGAGAAAATAAAAACAAAAGATACCTGGATGTAACATCAAAAAAGAGAGTTAAAATTTCTAAGGCACATAATGAGAAGAGAAAGCTTGGAAAATTTAACACTCACAAGACATTAAAGGCAATAGTGACAGAAGAATGCATCACAGAACCTACCTAAGAGGCTTGTACAAAATAGTTGGCAGAACAGTGACTAAGAAAGATAGCAAAAAGACAAACTTTACTAAGTGCTACAAAGGTAGTTATGGAGAGCTATGATCATCCATATCCTAAATAATCATATGACATAGAAGATGCAAAGGTTTTCATCACTGTTTTTGTTGAATATACTGACAAAAAGTGTTTTTTAAAACTTTTGCACACACCTTATACTTGCTACTGCACCCTTTTAAATAAAAATTATCTATGTGCATCATAATTTTTCAGAAGTAATTATTTTTTTCTGAATGGTCTAAATGTGAATTTTACAATGAAAGCATATTTGCTTTGAGTGAAAACATTTTTTGTACATAGAAATGTATTACCATGAACCAACAAAACTGAACATGCTACCTGAATTTATTGAAATCTTCAATAACTTTAGCCTGTAGATATCTTAACAGAATTGGCCACAGTTAATTGTCCCAAGAATTTACATCATTAACTCAACACGAATTCAACTCAAATTACATTAGCCAAAAGAAATTGGTGGACATATAAAAAGACAACTCTGTGTAAATTGCTGTTGGATGCTGCAATTTAACTGAACACCATTACACTTAATTCTTATTCAAAAGCCCCCTTCAGAATTTATCCTTTGACCTCCACACAGCCATTCTTTAACAATTTGAGCAAACAAGAAGTAACTGAATGCAGCAAAAGATAGAACAAAGAGAGAGAGAGAGAGTAAAAGAAAGAGAAAGATTGAGAGAAAGAGAAAGAGAGCAAGAAAGAGAAAGAGCAAGAAAGAGAAAGAGAGCAAGAAAAAGAAAGAGTGTGAGAGCGAGAGAGAGTGAAAGAAAGAGGGATAATGAAAGAAAAAATGAAAGAGAGAGAGAGAATGAAAGAAAAAAATGAAAGAAAAAGAGAGAATGAAAGAAAAAATGAAAGAAAAAGAGAGAATGAAAGAAAAAATGAAAGAAAAAGCGAGAATGAAAGAAAGAGAGTGAGAAAGAAAAAGAATGAAAGAAAGAGCAAGAGAAAGCTAGAGTGAGCACTACAGAGAGAGTGAGAGAGAGGAAAGACAGTGAGAATGAGTGTGCAAATGAGAGGTAGGACAGTGAAAATGAGAGGAAAGACAGCAAGAATGAGAGAGCGAATGAGAGGAAAGACAGCAAGAATGAGATAATGAGAGAAAAGACAGCAAGAATGAGAGAGCTGAATGAGAGGAAAGACAGCAAGAATGAGAGCGAATGAGAGGAAAGACAGCAAGAATGAGAGAGCGAATGAGAGGAAAGACAGCAAGAATGAGAATGAGAGGAAAGACAGCAAGAATGAGAGAGAGCGAATGAGAGGAAAGACAGCAAGAATGAGAGAGCGAATGAGAGGAAAGACAGCAAGAATGAGAGAGCGAATGAGAGGAAAGACAGCAAGAATGAGAGAGCGAATGAGAGAAAAAAAGACAAAGAATGAGAGAAAGAGAGGAAAGAGCATGAATGAGAGAAGCAAGAGAGGAAAGACAGCAAGAATGAGAGATGAATGAGAGGAAAAGACAGCAAGAATGAGAGAGCGAATGAGAGAAAGACAGCAAAAGAATGAGAGAGCGAATGAGAGGAAAGACAGCAAGAATGAGAGAGCGAATGAGAGGAAAGACAGCAAGAATGAGAGAGCGAATGGAGAGGAAAGACAGCAAAAATGAGAGAGCGAATGAGAGGAAAGACAGCAAAAAAGAATGAGAGAGCGAATGAGAGGAAAGACAGCAAGAATGAGAGAGCGAATGAGAGGAAAGACAGCAAGAATGAGAGAGCAATGAGAGGAAAGACAGCAAGAATGAGAGAGCGAATGAGAGGAAAGACAGCAAGAATGAGAGAGAATGAGAGAGGAAAGACAGCAAGAATGAGAGAGCGAATGAGAGGAAAGACAGCAAGAATGAGAGAGCGAATGAGAGGAAAGACAGCAAGAATGAGAGAGCGAATGAGAGGAAAGACAGCAAGAATGAGAGAAAAGAATGAGAGGAAAGACAGCAAGAATGAGAGAGAGCGAATGAGAGGAAAAGACAGCAAAGAATGAGAGAGCGAATGAGAGGAAAGACAGCAAAAGAATGAGAGAGCGAATGAGAGGAAAGACAGCAAGAATGAGAGAGCGAATGAGAGGAAAGACAGCAAGAATGAGAGAGCGAATGAGAGGAAAGACAGCAAGAATGAGAGAGCGAATGAGAGGAAAGACAGCAAGAATGAGAGAGCGAATGAGAGGAAAGACAGCAAGAATGAGAGAGCTTAATGAGAGGAAAGACAGCAAGAATGAGAGAGCGAAATGAGAGGAAAGACAGCAAGAATGAGAGAGCGAATGAGAGGAAAGACAGCAAGAATGAGAAAAGCAGCAAGAATGACAATGAGAGGAAAGACAGCAAGAATGAGA